TTTTTAAAATGTTTAGTCAACACAACTATTATTTTAAAAAATGAAAAGCAGAAATTAGAAAAAAGAAAACCTCATTTAAATTAGACAGTTTTTATGGTAAATAAGATATTAAAAAAAAGGTTTTTTTTTTCCAATGAAAAGTTTGATTAGGCTTTAATTAAAGGTTTGTCTTTTCCTTCTCCTCTTTTTTCTTTTTGCTATGAACTTTAAATAGTAATGACAGAGAGAAAAAAAAAAGGAATAATTTATCCGTTGAAATTATTTACACGATCAATTTGAGAAAGATTTTTTGCAATATGAAGAGAAATTACTGATTGATTCATTCGGATAAAATCAGAAATCATATGAGACATTCTTAAATGATAATGAAATTGTTGCTTTTCAAATATTTCATCCTAAGTTGCTTACTAAACTGAAAATGAGAAATGCGATAGTAATTGATTCGTCTATTTCCAAAATGGAAGAGAAGGGAATTTGAATTGAATTTTGTCTTTTGAAAGTATAAAAATTCAACTGAATGATAAATATTTAAATATTACATATTTCTTCCATGAATAATTTTCTCAGATTAATAAGAATCAATGTTATTCTTTTGCTCTTCCCAGTGACATGAAGAAAAAAGATGACGAAGGAATGATGACGCACCAATTTCTCATTACTAATCTATTTCACGTAAACAGTTATAGTTACTAATCTATTTCACGTAAACAGTTACAGTTACTAATCTATTTCACGTAAACAGTTATAGTTACTAATCTATTTCACGTAAACAGTTACAATTACTAATCTATTTCACGTAAACAGTTACAGTTACTAATCTATTTCACGTAAACAGTTACAATTACTAATCTATTTCACGTAAACAGTTACAATTACTAATCTATTTCACGTAAACAGTTACACGAATGAGACAAGTTTTTAAATATTCAAATACTAAATTTCTTGTTTGTTATTATTCAACAAACATATGTATTTTAGAAATACTGAATGAAATAAAAAATTGGATGACAAACATAAATTGAATTTTTGAATTGAAAAATAATGCTGAAGAAAGTTTGAAAATGAGGAAAAAAAATAGTAAATTTAGAGAAATGCTAACTGAGAGTTGTTAAATAGGGAAACAACTAACAGATGGCTTTTCTTCTTTTTTTTGAAAAAAGAAAAGAGATGAAAATATGATGACGTGAATTGGGAACAGATGGCCAAGAAAAAGAAGAAATATTCATATTTGTTATTGTTCAACAACTATATCCATTTCATGAAGTACAAATATTTGAAATCTCTTGAAGAATTGAGCGATTGACTGTCTATGAAAGAAATAACAAATCGAAATGATCAATTAAAAGCACTGACTAATCAAAGTTAATAAGAGTTACACTAGCTTGTCAGATTTTTTGCTAAAAATGAGGACAGTTGACACCTCCCATTTCATCCTCACATATCTTTAAAAGATATAATCATAGAACATTTAAGCCTTCTAACAAATATAAAAGTATGCTAGAGATATAACAGAGACAATTTTAAAATATCTTCAAATGAGAATGAAATGTACTTCGGACAATTCCATCATTTCATTTCATTTCATTTCATTTCATTTCAATCCTCTTTCTATCTACTTCAACTCGTTATTTTGCTAGCTTTTGGTTATCAAATTGAATAATAAGAGCATAAACATAATAATTTAAGTACTTAAACTTACACTTTTCTTTTGAATTATATTAAAAATTTATGCAATTCTCTGACTTGATCTGATCTGATCTAATCTAATCTAATCCATTTCATCTATAGACAAAAATTTTAGATTGGAAATTCTGATAACATTGTAAACATCAAACCAAATAGAAAGGGGAAAGTAATAAAAGAGGGAGAGGGAGAGGGAGAGGGAGAGAGAGAGAGAGAGGAGAAGAATCCAGTACAGTAAATATAGGTGATACTAAGATATAGGAGATGAAGAAAGATGATATATTTTGATCTATGCAACACCAATAACGGATATTTTGTTTATGTGTTTATATTTGATTGGTTAATGACCTCAAAATGATTACAATCAAATGTTTGGGAGGGAGGGAAGGAGGGAGAGAGAGAGAGAGAGAGAATAATAAATTCTTGATAAGATGAGAAAATGATGAAATTATAATGAAGTGACGTATAATTTTGTGGGTACGTGGTATACGTCATATTACAACAGATGAAGTGTTTCATTGAATGGAAAGGAAATGTTTGAATAAATTTTTATAAAATGATTTAAATATTTGAATATTAAAAAGCAAAGCAAATAATTCCCATTCCAAATAAAGATTTCAAAGCAAACGATAAAAGGAGGGAGTGAGAAGGAGAGAGAGAGAGAGAGAGAGAGAGAGAGAGAGAGAGGAATCATTTCATTCAAATCCATCATAACCAATAAATTTCTATCATCTCAAAAACATTCATTTCATATTGTAAACAAAACAATCGGCTATTTGTGTGTCACAAAGTATTACAGTTTTTATTCATAAATTTATATTATTATTCCATTTCAGTCGTAAATTTGCATAAATGTAAATTTTGACCATTCTTCTACAGTAACCATTGATTTGCCTTTTAATAATAATAATAATTCCCCCAATTTTGTAGTAAACTTTTTCGCTTCACCAATGACTGACCGATGGTCATCAAATTTAATTCAGAAGAGAAAAACAGAGAGAGGGAAGACAGAGGGGAGAGAGAGAAAGGAGTGTGTGTGTGTGTTATGTAAGAATATGTTTTGTAGTCATCGAAAGAGTTACGAAAGGACTCTATTATTGAATTAGATCTTAGGCAATACAACTGTCTGCTTTGTCATTGTCAAACTTTAACATAGTTAGGAGGGAGAGAGAGAGAGAGAAGGGACAGGGGAGAGAAAGAGATTGTAGGAAGCCACAGAACATTAAATTTTGATAAATGATGAGAGAGAATATGGACTGAAAAGATAGGTAGGTAACTGTCAGGTTAATGATTACCAGGTCAATGACTATCAGGTCAATGACTATCAGGTCAATGACTATCAGGTCAATGACTATCAAGTCAATGACTATCAGGTCAATGACTATCAGGTCAATGGTTATCAGGTTAATGACTATCAGGTCAATGGTTATCAGGTTAATGACTATCAGGTTAATGACTCATCAATGATTTAGACAATAGAGGGGGACAGGAAGACGACATTTTTTGAATTATTAGGAAGAAGAATTTGAGTGGAAAAATTAAGAAAAAATTTGCCTTATTTTTCTTTTTGTTTTAATAACTAATCATTGAGCATACACAAGAACATATATATATAAGCGAGAAACTGAAATATTTCAATGAAAATTAAATTTAACCATTTTAAAATAATTTCTATCATTTGTTGACTTTTACGATTTAACGTTATTCGTACATGTACATCCCATGTCATCCATTTAAATGATGGATGGATGGATGGATGGATTGATTGACTGATTCATTATATGGCATAAATTAGAAAAGGCAGAGAGGAAGAGAGGGAAGAACAGAGAGAGAGAGGGAGGGAGAGAGAGAGAGAGAGGAGAAGTGGTTAAATTGTACTTCCGAACAATCAAAGAAGAGAGAAAGAGGAAAGAAGAGGCGCGAATTGACAAATATGCAGTGAATGGGAGAGGTCAAATGGGAAGTGGCATGAATATTATGCAAGGAAGTGCAGTATGAGTGCTAAGCATTTGAAGTATAAATGAGTGGCGCTAAGTGGATCGGCCGGGAGGCGCTGTGTGACCACAACACGGGCGCTCTTTCTCTTTTCGGATGAAGACAAGCGGGCGGTATTGGGTCAGTGAGAAAAGAGTAGGAATGAGTGTGGCGATGATGTGTAAAGGACGGAGGGACTGGGCAAGTGCGCAAATTAACGTAATGCAAGGAGAAGCAATAGTGCAATATATAAATGCACATCTAGTAGAGAGATTCAATCTTGCTAGTATATTTGTATGCTTTCATTTTTGTCGCATAGAATGAGTGGTGTAGTGGGGTTGACAAGAAGTGATAAGCATTTGGCACTCTCGATGAAGTGTTCTCGATGAATTGAATGACGGAATATTGCACATTAGAACTATATTAGTTCTGAGTGTAATGCAAAAGATGACAATCATATGAATACATGGATGTGATGAAGAGATGGCATACTATTAACCTTTAAGCTTTATGGATAATTATTTGTGGAAAAGAATTAAATTTATTTCATCTTTTATTTATTCATTTTAGTTCTCATGTAGATAATATGTCCTAAAGAATGAATAAGCATAGTCTGAAATGTGCAAAGGCCATGCAAACAATAATATTAGTAAATAGGCTTCTTTTTCTATCGATTGTCTCTTCTTTGTTTACTTCTTCTTAATGTGCTTTAGGTAAGACTCAAATATTATTTGTTGGATGAGAATTTCTCTCGTCCATACGAAGTGAATAGAATCTTGAGAAGGACTTGTATTACTCATCGAGATAATTGATAAGTTTGATTATTTTATTATAAATGAATAATGATTGTATTTTAATGGTATGCTATAATTTATCACGAATGATAATGATTACAAATTGATTGAATTATATGATAATATAAAATGATTCAATGAAATGTATGTATTATTTGGAGCATAATATAATTAATCGAAAATATTACTGTTGTATTTGTTGCTAATCTAGTTGTTACGCAATTTGTCATTTGACTTTTGTAGTTTGAAATTTCTTAATAGAATTTTGCTATAAGATTGTCATTTAAGAATGTAATCACGTAAAATTCAATTTAATGATAGTAATAGGTGACAGAAAAAATAAAGAAAACAACATGTAGAAGAAAAAAAGAAAAAACAATAATGTCTTAATTATATTAGAATAATGCTATGCTAGCGATAGAACGAAAGAATAAATAATTACAGCAGGTGGTCAATTTATTGAACAAAAAAAAAAAGTGAAGAAAAGTTGTTATTTTACTATTAAAGGAATTAATATGCTATGCACACTTCTCATCAATTTAAATTATCTTACCTTTTCAGTATGTCCAAAATCAACACTTCCACGTACTGACAGATTTCTGAGACGATCTGTAACTGAAATTTTCCGAGTATTTCCTCCGTTAATCTGAGATTTTCTTGTTGCCATATTGCTGATTCTTCTAAAGATATTAAAACATTTTTTTTTTTTGAAAAAATTCGAAAAACAAGTAAAAAATGAAATAAAAAAAAAAAAAAAACAAAACTAAGGTGTTACGCAGAGGAGATATATTAAATGCTGTTAGTGTGAGTCTAATTAACGATAGTTTTTATACGATCTATTATTCTTCAAATATGGAATTCAATAAAGAAGTACTTTGAAATTTATGACATATTTTTTACACTTTTTTTTCAACTATTTTCAGACACTTCATCCAACTAAATTTATTTCTAATGAAATTTCGCTAGAAAATTTTGATCAAATTCAAAAACAAACCATTAATTTCATTTCAAAAAATATTTCCTTCATAATATTAATTGTTTACATTCAGAATAGTCTCTTATTTCATGTTCGTAAATTTCTCTATCAAACTTTGCAAAAGTAAATAATACGTATGAATAATAAGATGTAGAACATCAAATGATTAAATCGCTGTATTGCAACTAGTTTTACATATAAAAAAGCCCTATTACCAGTATAAATAATTTTGGATGTATTTGAATTATTTGCAAAATTTGAATCATTTAATTTAATTCTAATTATTGTAGCAATGTGGAAAATGAAGTCAGATGTGCGTACAACGGGCAACATTGCAACAAAATGACCATAGCTATGGTGGGTAGGAAGTAGCCACTACGTATTCTTTGCTCTTTTGACCTCTGCACTACGCTAGAAGAAGGTAGAAGTACACTTTCCCTTCTTTCATTTGCCATAACTATATTTATTCGTTTATTACATGTGAAAAAGGTCAGGGATCTCAACTTTCTAGATTATTATCATATCATCATCATTCGATCATCACCATCACCATCGTCATCATCATTTGATCATTATCATCACTCAATCATCATCATCATCATCATCATCATTCAGTTATGTCACGCACATATGCTTTGATAGATGTACAAATGATTGATTTCGGAAGAGAAATTAAGAAATTTAATTTCGAAAAAAATCTAGTTTAATAATCTTAGCGACACTCACTCTCTCGTTATTATTAGCTTGGCTCATTAAATGTACTTTAAAGAAAAGAATTGCTTAGCTTATTAAATAAAAAATAACTGAACATCTTGGCTTAACTTGAATTGTAAGTATAAGTAAGAATAAGTATTATAAGTTGAACTATAAGTAAGTTGTTGTTCTCTTCTCTATGTCACATTTTGATATATAATATTCAAATTAATTAAATAATTTACAGATAGCTAAGCTGGAAGAGTTAGAAAAGAAACGAGTTAAACGAGTTAATTAAATTTAAATAATTTTATTAAATATAGACGGATATAACAGAATGTTTAAGAGTAATCATTCATTTACTAATTTAATGATTTGATAACATCGACCAATATAATTGAAGGACTGAAATTAATGCAGTCATCATTAATTTAATGATTTATTGAGTAAATCATTAATATATGTAATTCCTATTTCATTTTTTATTTATTTTCTCACATTTCTGCAAATGCAACTACTTAACTTAATGTTCCTTATCGTCCATCGCAACAGTAAGTAAATAATTAAAAAGAAAAATTTGCATAAAAGGGAATAACTGGCATAATGCATAAAATGTTTCCAGTGGGACTTCCAGATGACAAAAAAACAAAATTGTTCATTTTTAAATTTAATAAATAATTTCATCAAATTGCGGGGTTATTTCCAATAAGTTAGTGTTATTATTCACATTAAAATCGAATAGGAATTGAAATGAAATCATGCATATGAGCAAGTTTTGAGGAAATTTAGTCAGTGAAATGAATGAAATCGAAATATTTTATTTTATTTTTTCATCAAATTAATTCTCTCTTCCCTTTCTACTGCTTTTCATCGAGCAAAATAATAGCAATCTAACATATATTCGCGAAAATTTAATTTTATTGCTATTGGAAGTTTCACTATTAATTTGAAAAAGCTTCTTTTAAATACAAAAATGTTAACAAAATAAAAACGAATTTGCAATCAAAAATTGTTTTTTTTTTAAAAAAATCCTATAAATAAGATAAAGATGATAAGAGAGAAAAAAGAGAGAAGGAAAAGTGGAAAAGATCGGCTTTATTTGTAGCACTTTTTAAGCCTTAAGCCTTAAATGTTTAGGCCTTGGCTGTCATCTTAAATATTCCCATTTGAAATGCTATTACACTTCGATCAATAAATAAAGAGGGACATATTACTATTATCGACTGCTTCTTCTCTTTCTCCATTTCTCAATTCAAATCTTTCAATTGAAAACGAAAAGAATTTTTGGCAACAAGCGCCTGAATAAATGTGCCAACCTTGCATAAACATTTCCGCCTTGATTCTGTTCCATCAGTAAAAATAATTTTCTCGAGGAGAATATATAAAACGATGGATGATGTAAATATACTTTCATTCCTGGGTTTTCTTTTTTTTTCTCTTTCAGGAAATGCGCTTTTTTTTTTTTTGATCGTTAAATTGTAGAATTATCAGTTAAAATGATATCATAGTTGAAACTTAGTAATTAGTGATAGTTTTAAATTTAAACTTCTGAAATATGTAAATTCAAAGAATTTAAATGAAATTGGCGGAAAATGTCGGTGTATCCATTTGAACAGGTGTTGATAAGTTTACTATGAGAGAAAAAGAGAGAGAAAGAGAGAGAGAGAGAGAGGGAAAGAGAGACATCAATTGTTGTCAAATGACATAGTAATAAGTCTCGAAATCAATAACAAACATAACTATTATCATTTGTATTTCAATGAGAAATTTATAACTAACCAACGGGAGAAGGAGAATAACAAATGAAATATCTGAGAGATTTTGATTGAAAAGATTGTTTGAGTGCGCATTTGTCCATGCAACATTTTTCAAATCTAAAAATTATTTCTATTTGGTACAGATAATAACAAGAAATTAAGTAATTAAATTTCTAGAATATTTTAGCACAAATTGCTTAAGGTCGAATTTTACCTATGGAATAATTTTCAAATTCGAAAATTATTGAATTTCTCTATTTAACAGAGATATTTAATAAGAAATTACAAAATAATTAATAAATGATGCAACATGAATGATAACAAGTTAAGAAGAAAATATTAAGATAAAGAAAACTGCTTTAGTTGAATTTCATTCTCTTTCGAGTCGAAATAATAAATTTTAATTTTAACTTTTTTTTTTGAATTAAATATTTGATGTGAGTGAGTCATGCAAATTTATTTGAAAACATTGAAATTATTATGACAAACAGTGTTTTCAATAATCTTTGAGTAAAAAATTGAGAAATTTTTATGAAAATATTTGATGAATCGTTGAATCGTTTGTATTGGCAAAAAAAGTGGCAATAATTGCAATAACGATGAAAATAATTTAAAAAAGGAAACAATTTCTTAATATTAAAATAGCTATCCCTCTAATATTTATATAATCAAATCCTACAGTAATTCAATCGTTAAAACATTCAAAAAAAAGTTGAAAGTGATTTCAAAGATTAAAAATTATTTAGTTAATCTTTTTTTTCCATCTTCTTGCCTCTTTTAGTACAAGCTATTAACTGTTTAGAAATCTTTTGCTTGAGATTTCTAATCTTACAAATGAATCAATTAACTAATTTAGCATACATCAACTTTTTCAACCTTACAATTATAACTTTTTATTGAATGATATGATAAAAAAAATTTTGAAAACAGACAACGTAATTTTAGTTTCAAAAAGAGCATAAAAATGATTCTTTCTTTTTGCACAATCATTTCAACAATTATAAATATAAATGAATAAATATCATTTGTAAATGGGATGAAATATTTGCAAAGAATTTAATTAATATCATTTCATATTAATCAATTCATTGATGAAATTATATTTTTTTTACTAGTTATAAGAAAATTTCCGACTAACTAACAGTATAATTGACATTCGTTTTCAATAAAATTTTAATGAATTTAAACTTTGATTAAAATTTATTGTCAGCATGATAAATGAGACAGCTTTAAATTATCAAAATCATTCCGGCTTTATAACTTTGATTAAATGTCTAACATAAACACATACACATACACATACTCACATGCCTACAGACAGAGATACACAAGCATATACACACACACACACACACACACATCCATGCCTGTATGAAACAAATTTCACTAATCATTGATTATTCATCAGCTGTTAGTTTAGTTTTCGCCCATGCAAACATTTGTTTGAAACTTTAAAATTTACAACAAATTAAACATTTTCGCTAATTTCTAAGTTAACTCTTTTTTTTCTACTCATTTATAATTAATTAAGTTTGATGATTTTTTGTCCATTTTCGTAGAGGAAAAAATGAAATTTAAGCAAAATAATATGAATAAAGAATTCAAAAATTAAAAGCATTCCAATCATAATTAATCCATTAGTAACTATTTTATCAATTAATTGTGCGAAAAAGTGAAAATAAAAAAATAAAGCGGGAATTTTTGAGAAAGATATCATTTCATGCTAGAAAGAATGAAATGAAATAGTTTAGAACAGTTTAACTTTGTATCGCATTTCACTTTTCAACAGATTAAAACGATTATATTCTGCATTATATCGGATATCACCACTATATGACATATAACCTTTCTTACATTCAGATTCCATTCAAAACTTCGGATGGCATCGATGAATAGAAAGGATAAGTTTCGAAGTTTCTCCAAGAACTCACCAGTTCTGGTTATCAAAGCTTGAAATGATTCAAGAGTATCCCATCTGATTTACTTCTAAGATAATAGAAAAGAGAATTTATTAAAAAATATACTGAAATATTAAATAATAATTTATCACCAAATTATATTTATTTGGATTACATTAGATGCAAGAAAATTTTTAATTTGCTTGGAAGCAATTTTCTTCAATAGTTATTTGTTTGTTATAGAATTTCTCTCTCTTTCTTCCTTTATTATTTTTTTAGTTTTTGGATGAAAGATGTTCAGATAGCCAGGCTTAATTCACTCCTCGATCCTATCATATCACAATTAAGTTATGCTAATTTATTATCACTTACTTCTTTCAACTTTTCATTTAAACAAATTATGAACACTCATACCATAATTTCCATAAATATAAAAGTACTTTTCACACTAGTTCATTGGAAAATTTTTAATTTGCTTGGAAGTAATTTCCTTTAATTTCAATTGTTTTTTCTTTTCCTTAATTCCAATGACTGAATTAGAATTTCTCGGTAGTAATTATTTGGACTTCGCAATGCAAATTGGAATATTTTCGAGAAAAATTTTTCAAAAATTTAGAGTGAAAAAACAACAAGTAGTTCCTGGTCACTAAACTAGCATGCAATATAACACTTTGTAAAGTCGAATGCATCAGTGAATTTGAATTACTTAAAGACAGTAATTCTTCTTTCCTATGGAAGATAAAATGAAAAAATAAGCTGAAAAATGAAACGAACAATTTATGAGCTAACATCTTTCTTCACAACATATTATAAGAAATATTGTAGCAGTTGTACATACAACAAGAACCTTGTTTGTTAATTTTTAACCTTTACTAGCTTATATTAAAATAAATTGTAAAAGTAAGTCGAAAAATTTTCAGAATTTCTCGAGAATCTGACATAACTTCAAAGCAAAAAAAGTTGATGACAATGATTTCGGAAAGAAAACAAGAGTAAATTCCATCAAATTTATTGATACTTCTTTTCTAATTCATGAATTACAAAAGAAAATTCACATAAATTTTAATGGCTGGGCGGCATCAACCATAAAATTACTTTTCTGCCTTTTTTCTTGCTCTCTTTACTTTCAATCGTTGCATCCTTGTTTGTTTCAAAATATCTACCAATGTTTTCTCCGCAGGTACTTTATTGAATTTAACTTCAAGAAGCACATAGAACCCTGAAAAGCTAATTACTGCAAACGTTTTCTAAATACAAAGTGAAAAGATCAAAAACGAATATAGCAATGAATCTCGTCATCCCAACATTTTGAGAAATTTGAAAAGCGTTTAGGAAATCATTAAATGCTGAAACAAACCAGTTCGAGACAACTTTTTGCAAGATACCGGCCTAAAACCCAATGATGCTAATTCCTGGAAAAATATACTATGTACATCATCAATCGCATACTGCAAAACTTCTTCGTTGGATAAGTGTTCAATTTCGAGACGTGGAACTTCCACTCGACCACAACTTAACTTCCCAACCTAGAATATAAAACTGAACTTTACTTTATAAACACGTAGGAAAATTCAGAATGTAGAAAAAAAATTACATTATAAAAATAAATTGAAAACGATCTCTTATTTTCGACCATTCTAGAACTTTATATGATAAATGGTTGTGGTTCAGAAAGTTAGGTCCAAATAAATGTCTCATCCTAATAAAATTCTTTTTAAACTCAATACTTCCATCAAAGATACATAGATTACACGGAATAGTTCGATGTTTACATTGATATCTGGCTATTAAGACAACTGCATGAAGTTTGATCACTAACAGAAATGTAGTCATCGAATAAAATCATTATCAAAAAGTATTACATTGATCATGAAGTCGATTTTGGCATCTGGATCTACCTGAGGCCAGGGTTGCTCGTTGATTTCTTTATCTAGCCATACTCTATGTACATTCAGTGCAGGAACGGAACGTAATGCAGCCCAATATTCAGCAGCCAAATGAGGTGTAAATAACTGAAATGCAATTCACATAAGATAATATGCTGTGATTCTAAAGCAATTTTATTACATTCAACGTTAAAACGAACAAATAATACAAAGTAGAAATGAATGAAATAAATATTAAATTGTAGTTAGTTAAAGAGAAAGGCGCCATATCGTTGATATCGCAAAATAAAGCTAAATTGTTGAACAAAAAGGATCATCCCCATACTACAGAAAAATATGACCCAGCGACCATTTTTTTGCATATTATTCTATAAAAATGATACTAAATTCTAAAAGGCATTTAAATAACTTCAACAATACCGATCTTAATAGATCGATTTTAAAAAAATCAAAAAATTCAACCTGCATCATTATCACTAGCGCATGAACACATCGTTCAAGTTGTACACTGCAACGATAAGCTTCAGCCGAACTTTTCTAAAATTAGCTTGCCAAAACATAATTCAAATATATACCTATATGAAGATATATATATTTCCGAATGAAGTAGTGACAAAAAAACAGATTTGGAATTCTGCTCACCTTCAAAAACTTCACGAAAGACTGCAAATGATCTATTGCAGTATTATGCAAATGTAAAACTTCTATAAGCATCGAAATCTAAAAATAAATTAACAGCACTTTAAACTTTCCTTTTACTCCTCGAAAGAACAAGTGTTTGGAAAAAACAAACAAAATCTCAACTTTAGTATGCATTTCTTGATAGTACAAAGATCAAAAATAAGCTACAAACTTACATTACGAACATAAAAATTATAGATAGTTCGATATTTTTCTTCTCTTGCAATGTCTAATGGTTCAGGTAAAGTTGAACCTGATAATGCATGTTGTTCTACATAGAAGCTAATGACATCCGAAGTTCGTTCCATAAACTTGAAAAGACCTTTTAGTTCTGAAATGATAGTTTAAAAAGTGACATCATGCGGTTTGATTGAGTACTCCATGCATATCAGCAAACGAACTCCAACAAAAATTAATTGTATATTACATAACTATAAAGTGATCTATTGTTATAAGTACATAAATAGGCCATATTTTGCATTTTATCCACATAAACTGCTAGATTTCTTATATGCATCGGTGTTACCCAAACTGCATCTCAAAATGTCTAGATTAGACTGAAGTTCAAAATGAAATGAAGATATACCTGTATCACCCCAATTAATAGGTTCTCGTGGCGCAGCTTCATTCAACAATTGCAAACGAGTTAAATCGATCCCTTTCAACTTTAATACACTTAATGGATCAACACCGTTATGTTTTGACTTTGACATCTTCTCAAACTGAGTAAATACTGCACAGCCATCTTTTTTTGCGATGAAACCATTTCCTATATTATTAGTTTTTTTTTATTATTAGTTATATTATATTATTAGTTTACTTTAGCTAAATATTTGCACAGGCACCAGTTGCTCAGTGAATAATGAATATTAAATTGTAGTTAATTAAGTGATGTTTTCATCGAGTTTTGAAAATAATCAAATGAATGGTTACAACCCAGAACCGTTATTAGAACAGATTCTAATAACGGTTCTGGGTTGTAATGTTACTAAGAGTAAATTTAATTATAGATAACACTGAAATTTCAAAATTCCCTAACCTGTTTGCACGACATCGTCTTCCTTAAGATATTTTCCGCTATCACTTCTCTTAAAAGTGCGACTACATACAATTCCTTGCGGTAACAAACTATCAAAGGGTTCCTGTACGGATGATACGCCAATATCGTGTAAGAAATAAGATACAAATCGCGCAAAAAATAAATGTAACGCAGCTGCAATAATCCGCAAACAAAAATAGTGCAAGACATCAACTAGATGCTTAATAAATACTTATATTATATGTTAAATATCGTGTTTGAAAAAAAAAATGGGCAACTTGGGAAATTTTCGTCATTCCAAACTTTTCAAGTAAAAAATTTTGAGAATGACAAGAAATATTACCATGTTCTATACCACCCACATAAACATCAACTGGCATATCTATAGATTTCTTTTCTGAGATCAATTCGATATCGTTTTTGGGATCAAGAAATCTGCAAAAATTTTATTTGCCTCCAAAATAACAACGAGTTAACCTAGACTAAACTTTAAAAGAAACCTTAAGTAATACCAACTGGAATCAAAAAATGTATCCAGAGTATCCTTTTCCAAATATCCAAATCCATCGGGTAACCTGAAAATGGAAAGCATTTGCCAGATTAGTCCGATATTTACGCAGTGTTTCATAACTCAATTAATATCATTTCTTCGGAACAGTTAAATAGATTCTGCCATTTTCAACCATTAAATTAGATAAAAAAATTGACTCGAAAAAATAAGAAAAGATGTTTGAGCTGACCTCTGACATGGAATTTTTTCGTCGTATTTATAATGAGCAGCAATAACAGGCAATTGATCATCAGCAACAATAGCAGCACAGCGATCATCAGCACTGAGTAATACCGGTATTGGAGTACCCCATTTCCGCTGCCTTGAAACAACCCAGTCAAGTAATCTCTCGCTTGTTTCATAGCCTCCATAATCTCCAAACTTAAATGGGAAGATCTTATAAAAACAACAATTAGAATTAAATCATATCATCAAAATTTTTGAAAAATGGCTAGAACTATTTTTAGATCATCAATAGCGACAATCCTTTTATGAAAAACGGTTCTCCTGGTATTAAGCTCATCATACACTTAGGTTCAAAGTGGTATCTTTTCTGTGTAGAGGGATGCTTTTCTTCTTCAACAAATTTGACCCAAAAGAAACTCTCAATCACGGAAATGGGGATACAATAATTCAAGTATAATTAGATATTTATCAAAAGAACTAAAACTAACTTCGGCAATCTGAATTATATCGTTATTAGTGAGCGAAAATCTACATCGTTCTGTTGAGAATCCAAAACTTTCTATAACCTTTTTATCAAATTCATCTGCTTCACAAGGAAGTCTAGCATTCAAGATGAATCCATTTCTATTTTTAGCAGCATTCTCATTCATATAAATGATATGCATGTCCTTCCCTGTTATGATATTCAACGCAGTCACTTTTAAAACACCTGAAAATTTACGTAGCTATTGTAAACAAATATAAAACCTGAAAAGCTATTGAGCGACATAAATGCACAAACTTGAACATAAACAGAACTCAAAATTCTCACTTATTGGATTTTTATGGAGCAATAATACTCTAACTTTATTTTCAATTTAGTTTAATCAATTAACCTATTTCTTCTTTTTCATCAGCTAAACTGAAGAGAGGATGACCGAATTGAATAAAAATAACATTAGCAGTAGCTAGATGATGTGGTTCGCGTATTCGAAGGTCAAATTTCTCATCCAGAACTGTGCCGTTCCTTTCCTTAAAAACTTCGACAGTTGTCATGTTATTTAATAATTTAGAATCATACTTTTGAAAAAAGTAAAATACTTTTTGAAACGACAAACAAACAAATGAATCCTAGAAATAAAATAAAACATGGTATCACTCACTGCTTTAGACACTTCAGTAGTTTAGGTTAACTTGAATCATATGTTTAATTTTGAAAATCTAAAAAAAATTCTTGCAACCATTTCAAATTGCTACAAAAGATATTTTTCCTTGATTAAAATAGCGAAAATACTCGCATAATCAATGTCATGGATCCCTGAAACTCCTGAATACATGATATAAGAAAAATAAGATCAAAGAACATTAGACCTTTAATTATTTATTGCACTATGTCTCACTAATTTAATGCCAATGGTTCCGATACCTTTAATGGGAGTAAAAATCGCCAAACGTCACATTTCCCAATCCAGTTAGCTTGTATGGCTGCTACTTCCTTCCAGTGAGCTAGTTTCTCGAGTCCAACATACATGCGCTGAAAGCCGGAAAATAATCAAACAGAAGTAGAAAGTTTCAAGGTACTGCACATAAACTACTTCAGTCTACCAACTTTCGCATATTTTGGCGTTTCAATCATCCAATGCTTTATTTTACGCTTTTCGGCAACTGCCCCAGAACGCCACGAACGTCCTTCCGCATCAATTTGCTCTGCAGCAAGAACAGTGCAATCGATTGGATCCCAATGTACCTATAATAATTGCAAAGTTCCGGACTATAAATCAGTTGATAATAAAGAAGAAAAACGGAAAAGCTGTGATTTTAAAAATCACCAATTATCCACAAAAAGGACCTCGGTCAAAGCTCGTCGAACTAAGCCACGTTCAAAAAGCCGACAGAAAATCCATTGCGTCCAACGATAGTAATCTGGTGAACATGTCGAAATTTCCTTAAAGAAATTTTTCATTTATAATATTTTTGAAATAATAATTTGATATCATCAAAATGATCTCAACTTTAATATATTACTATCGACATTATTCAGATGAAATCATAAGAAAAAAGAATGTTATTCCATCTAAGATCTTGTTCAGTGAAACAAAACATAATAATTAATCAGATACTGAAATAAAGTTATCATTTCTCAAAATGTATCTTTGTTTTTCATTAAAGTTGCAACATTTTTGGGAAATTCATGTCGCTTTCACAATAAATTATGACAAAAGCTTACTCTATTCCAGTCAAATATAATGCCTGTACTCAATAGCTGTTGACGCATCACATCAATATTACTGAAACGGCATAATAAGACTTTCAACATTATAAAAACTCATTGATAATAAGTGATTATACAAAAAATCTACTTTGCTGTCCATTGTGCTGGATCGACACCTACTTCTCGAGCAGCATTTTCTGCTGGTAAACCAAACGCATCCCAACCAATCGGGTGAATAACATTGTAACCGTTTAATCTAAACTTTTTCTTTTCATTCTAAGCTTTTATTTATTTTCTTCTATTCATTTAGAGTAAAAATTGAGAGTTAAAATGATAAAACGAATAAGAGATCTGCACCGTCATATTTCATTCTTATTAAATATAGCAAAATTTGAAATTACCTGTAATAACGAGCAAGTACGTCTGATATCGTATAAACTCGCATATGCCCCATATGCAGTCTTCCTGATGGATATGGATACATCGAAAGAATGTATTTCTTTGGTCGTGAAGACTAAAAATTACCACAAGAGAAAATAATGTTTAATTAAATACTTTCTAACATGAAATTTCACATTTCTAATTAACAATTCTTCACTAGGAGGGAAGAAAATAACTAACATGAACAGATGGTGCTATTTGTGCAACTTCTTTCCAGTACTTCTCTAAATCAAACAATTTTGTTGATATACCATACTCCTCAAATGATTTTACAATTGAATAAATTGGTGGCAATTAATTTCTAACTACTCACATCATTCCACATAGTAGTGCTCACTTAAACACAATAAAACACTTATTAAACCTTAATAAGTTTTACTGAGATGTTTTAATGAAATTTGAAAAAATTTTTCGTTTGAAAAAAATTAATCGAAATAATCAAAATGTTTCAAGTGTATACCTTCCTTGGCCATATCAGCATTGGTGTTTTTATGTGCGAAGCACTGGCTTTCGAGTAGAACTTAGCCAAATGATACCTTATCTTTGGCAATAAAAAACTTGATTCCATCTGAAGCAAATATTGTCCACTAACATGCATGAAAGATGACAGACTGTGGAAGGTAATAAGGCAACAAACAAACCTTAATTATTAAAAATGACTGAATTTAAATAATTGAAAAGATTAAGGAGAAATTGCGATCCACTTCAATTTCTCAGCAAAATTAGGAAGACTGTTTAAAGTTTAGTGACAGTTCGATGACTCAATGACGGACCAAGAACAAACAAAGTGGGAGCAGTAACTTCTTGAACTCATTTTGAACAGATTCCTCTCAACTGATTTTGATTTTCAAGATGAAAAAGTAAAATTCAACTTAGAAATAACAAAGGAAATAATATGAGACTTGATGGCACATGAAAGATTGACCACGTTCCGAATGAAAATATATTCAAAAGTGGTTGTTTTGACTGTATATAAATGAAAACTAATTAAGGGTTTTCAGAAATAACGAAATACTTTATTTATAAACAAAATCATTTCACTAGCTTACAAACATTTCAAAATAAAAAAGTAAGGAACTGCACTAACAAAAAATTATTCATATAGAAGTACTAAAAGCAGACTTTAACATATAATTTATAAAAAATAATTTTCTAACAAAAGCCTTCCTAGTCTCTTAACTAATATAAATTCTAAAACTTCATTTCTAAGCTACTATGCGAAATCAGAACGAAATAGAAAATCATATCACTCCGAAATGCATGCACAGTTGTTTAATTTTTAAAGCAGTTCATAAGTAGCTAAGCATTTATGATAAGACAAATACTTTGCTTCACAAATAATACTTCCTCAAAAAAAATATACAAAACCATGCATATAAAAAAAAAATTGACGAAATTTCAAGAATACTTATTTTTTCTTAAAAAAAATAACTTTTATGAATAATGATTGAATTAATAAATGTTTATTTCTATTTGTCTAACACATATTAAAAAAAATAACTGAACTACAAAGCATTGAAGATGATACGGTCGAAAAAACAATGAACAACAACGTGTGAAACTATTTAAGTAATACATTATAAAAAACTACGGAAATGTAAAGCTGCATGTAACTAATAAACAGAAAAACAACAACAAAAAATGTAAAACACGCATTGTACTTCAATAAAAGAGCGCAACCTTGAATGGAACAAATAAAAGACATAAGTATCTAATAATATCAAATAAAATATCAATGACAACTGTTGAAATTAGTCCTCAAGGTGATTAATAAGCTTTTCTAAGCAGTCCCTTTCTTCGTTTTTCACTTTAATAATCCCAGTTTGAATAAATTATTTCTTAAAGTAAAATAAAAAAAGTAAGATAAAATTAATCCTGTGAGTGGACACCCATTACTCTACGAGAAGCACTTGAATTTTACATCCACCTACAGAAAATTTTTTCTCATCAGCATGCCTCTTTCCCAACAGCACTTCACTAAGACGATCTCTGTTGCTGGGAAGAAGTAAGTCTCATCCAATGCATCAAATATTCCTAACCATAATGTTTGTCATGAAAAATGATGCTGAGTATATTACTTAGAATGTACATACACCATTCCAGAACAATCCTATAACTGTTTACCTTGTTTGGAAAATTAATCTGATGAATGAAAACGTTATTCGCATCATTCGTATTTCGAAAACGAGTAAAGACGATGAAGCAAAAATTCTTCATAACGTGTTTAGTTATAAAAAGGAATGCAATGTGAGATCATCTCTACATAATAATAAAATCAATATATCCCTCAATTTGAGGTAAAAAATATTTCCTTCGCATATGCTGCTTCCATGGTCTTTCACAGTCAATAAATAGAACAGCGGAATCTACTTCACAATCCAATAAACAATCAGAATTTGTACTTGTCCATGGGAAAGAATAATTCTCTTCTCCAATCAAAGACTATAAAAAAGACTAATGATAGCTTTTACGATATTTATGCATTTCATCTCAACACTTCATAACTACTGATATCTACCAGCGCTTTGCCTATCAGTGGCGTTGAAACACGTGGTATGACAACTGTGACAAAGAAATACAAAAAAAGTGAATAAAGAATTATACAAAAACTTATATAACAATATAGAAAACATGGTCACTGCTCTTACAGTCCTTTGGAAATTCATAATAGTAATGAACTTTTACTAAATTATTTGGAACTAACCTTCCTCATCTAAGATAACTAAATTAAGATGTTGAAGTATTAAGGACCTTTATAATTACGAACATTATCAATAGATACCATGATAGTTCTATTTTTCTAATATAAATCGGATTGCCTTACCGGTAAAGACAGGACGTTCGATTTGTTTTTTAGTTCGGGCCACATAAAAAACGAGAAATCCACCCAATCTGCTATTACTTCTTTAATCATCTTCCATCCGAAAAGAAAATACAGTACTTAATAATGTGCGCTAATTTATGTACTGACCAAAGAAAGTAAATAGAAACGCTCCTACTCTTGAGTTCCATTTTCACTTTTTTTTTTTAGACGAATTCATTCCTTATAGTATAATTTATGTTATTAATAGATGGTTATTACCATCTTAAATTTTCTGCTTAACATTCTACTTCTGCTTACTTCTTTATACAGAAATCATATTGACTAATACTAATAAAGACTAAGCAACAACCTCATTTAAAATTTTTTTTCCTTTTTTCTTTTTTTTTTTTAATAGAAATTCAAGGCAAAACCTCGGAAACAGTGAGTGAGGAAAAAGCACTGCTTGCATTTCCTTAATAGGATGTAAAATTGTAGGTGCCATCTGAGTAATATCCAAAAGTTTTAGGCCCAACGAACTGCGGTATTGAGATGACTGTTCTGGAAATACTATCGTGAATTGTAGAATTACATCAAAAGTCAATAGTTCATGAAACGTAGAGCATGAAAGCAAGTTGTTAGTCAAAATTGCGCGGCATGAGAAGCCGAAACGGTTCCATATCAAAATGAGCAAAATGACGGCAGAAAGCTTAAAGTCACACATCGATATTAGTTCATCATAGTTAGTACTATGACTTCAATTTACATCCAATAATATCCAATTTTTGGGGGGACAATTAGTGAAGGTCGACAATTTCCAAGTAAAACCAATGTAGCAAGCCATAATCATTAAGTTAATATAAAAATGCAAAACATACCAGAAGAGTGGTAATCATTACTGCATGAAGTATTATCAGAAGTATTTATAGCATTTCCACTAACTAGTTCATTTCCTGACTTGCTTGGACCAATTGATGCTCCGCCATTACCTGAATGATGGCAGAAAATTTTAAATTAGTCGTAAAATTTTAGTCGCTAAAAAAAAAAAATTTTAAATTAGTCGCTAAAAAAAGAACTACTTCATTTAAGTGAAAAATATTATCAAGTAAAGTGCCCGTCTGATGTTAATCACCAAAATTTATTAAAATGCCGATACATAAAATATAGACTATTATACAAGGGAAAAAAGGCCTCCAGGAATCAACCCTTTGATGGATCATCGTCGTTATCTCGTCGGTTTCCATAATTACAACAATATTTGGAAGCCAGAAAATTCAATCGTCTCTCGCTGTCATCATCTGATGTTTCACTTGATGAACTACAATATCAAAATTAATCAAAATTTCTATTTACCTAGTGTAGCTGCACTACCAAATGACGTTAGAGTTAATAATCAAACCTTGTGCTCCGTTGCGGTTTTACAGCATGATATCTTGAAGATGATCTCTGCTCATACCTTTGAACCATATCTGGTGACACTATTGCTTGACGTCGCCTGATCATGCGTACACTGCTATATGTAAGAGTTGCATCCACAGAATCTTCTTTAGCAAGCTGAAATGGCAAAACTAGTACAGATGAGAAATGGGAAGAAAATACTTTTCCTAAAATTTCAAACTGTTAAAATTTCATAACAAATCAGAAACGATTAGATATCAGTCTCCCGAAAGATGTCAGTTTCCTCACCATTCAATTGAATCCATCAAAGTGCCTGGTTATCGTCTGCTACAACATTGCGGAGTTTTCTTGGCTTGTTTGAAACTTCTGGAACATACGTCTTGCCATGACTCGATAGTGCTAAACCGCCGAGAAAGGTGCCTCAGTTAAGCTCTGCAGTTATAGAAACTTATAAAAATGATACCTTCGGCTGAATAAAAAGTCGAGATGCGGATAAAGGCACAATCGATGCACCAGAAACACTACGGCGAGTTACAGTTTGACGTTGTTCTGCACCTTTATCGAATTCATATTCTTCCGTCTCCTATAAAAATTAAAGATAAAATTCTGTGATGAACATTTTTCTAAATGGGAAAAAATTTGACTTGATCTTAATGAAGAAAAATAAAATATTTGAAAAAGAAATACCTCACAAATCCCAAGTAGGTGAGGCGATGAACCCAACTTCCGCAATCCACCAGATCCAGTGAAAGAAACCTTCAATCGATTGACTGCTAAATAATTAAATTTTCATCGAAAAGCATTATATATGAAAATCGCAAATTAGAACTACAAAGTGATTCAAATTATATTAGTGATAGCGATAGCTCAAGATCGTATACAAACAATGATCAAACTTGACAAATACCAGGACTTGCACGACCGCTTGAATTTGGTGGACTAGAGCTTCGGCTGCTCAGACGACTATCCGGCGAAAGTGTTCGCCTTTTACCTTCTGCGATGTTCAATCGTGATAATTCCAATAAACCCTGTATGTCCTGAGGTGATATTCGTCCATGTGAACCAGAGTTGGAAGGAAATATCGACACAGAGCAAGATGAGTGCCTAAAAATATAAAATATGCATCCCTAAAGACTACAACCAATTTACTAAAGTTGCGACAATAGATCTGATGCAAGGAACCGCTGTGAAACATTATGGATGATGAATCTGTAATGACAATGCTTTTTTGCAATATATAAGAATGTTATAAATGTCATGTATTCTTTTTGGAATTTACAATTTTCCTGTAGGAACATATTTTAAATTTAGTGAGAAAGGATGAAACTTGCACAAGGAAAAACAGTGGTGTAAATAATAGCTAGCCGAAAGCATGCAAATATTAATAAGAACCAAATAACTGAATATATTATTTAGAGCGAAGGAATCGAAAATACCCCTTGAATTACGATGGGAAATTATCAGTCTGCAACCATTACAAAGAAAAAAAAAATCATGAAATGCATGGGAAGAATATATTTAAAAAAACCTTGACGACTGCCTAGATGTACCGCAATGATATGTTGACAACTCTTCCTCACTTTCTTCTTTCAAAATTGTACATGGCCATCGGGAAACAGAAGTGCTTCCACGCCATGAATTGGATCGACTTCGACTTTTATAAATACTCCCTTCATCACTTTTGTCAACCGTTTCCCTATAAAGCATGGTTATCTGCGCAATTATAAAAACCGAATCCAAAAATTGATCACACAATTTAAAACCTCACCGCTTAAGGGAAAATATTTGCTTCAATTTAAGTCCAGTAAAGCAACGCTGAAGAATCAAAAAAGTAAAGAACCTTATTTCAGGACAATTTTTAAAGTCTGCTGGTAAATCGCTCAATGAAGGACGCTCAGTCTCATGCGCTTTCCTGGCGCGTTCTTCACGATAAGATGCCAGAACTCTTTCAGCAAGCAAATAATAAGTGGCAGTAATGTATGAAAAATCATCATTATCTAGCGATCTACAAATTTTCATTGATAAATGACACGCTAAAAACTTTAAAAGTTTTAATTAGTCTTCACAGAAATATTCTTTACAAGCAACAGTTAGAGAGGTTATTTAACATGAAATACCTACTTACCGCAGAATATTTTCTTCTGTGTCAACACCACCAGCTACCATTTGGTCAATAATTGTAGTATGTGCACTTTCCGGAAGCACATCTCGACCAACTAAGGGTAAAATCTGAGCAAGACCGAGATCTCCAGCTTTCACCCACGAACTATTAATAATTTCGCTAAGCGCTGCGCGCTTTTGGACATCTTTCACTAACATTCTTGATATGAGGCTGCAACCCAATACTTTATAGCATGAATAAACAGAGGCTTTTCTACAAAGCTGTTCATCACTTCATGTCATGATATTTCCTCTAAAATCATAACTAATGAGACAACTACTGTTAAGAACTAAAAAGAATAGTGTGAACAAATTCACAAATGCAATAATAGCGGAAGGACAACATTTGTATAACTGCTTTTCAGTCAGAAAGAGTAATGGAAACATTAAAGCAGAAAATACGTTAGATTTTTATTAAAACCAAAGTAAAATTTACTATCGAGCATGTAGCGAAAGTGTATCTGGAAGAGAATACTTGCAATCTAATATTTTTGTCAAAGTTTCCGAGTCATTTGCTTCTTGGAATGGCAATCGACCACATAACAACATATATAAAATAACTCCCAGTGACCATACGTCTAAAATTCGTGATATAATCAGTGATAAGGGGCTTTTTAATTAATTGGTTACCATGAACAGGATTTGTTATTGCAGGTTTTTAGAACTGTCCATAAGATTAAATAGTTTATTAGAATTTCAACTACGTTATGCTACGCAAACTATTTTTTTTGAAGATTTTTATAAAATTTGTCCCAGTTTTTTCTTTTTGCTTACACTATACCATAGTTCAAACAAATCTGCTACTGATAGAATAAGATTTAGCAAATCTTCTTAATATTTTTCTTGATGAACTCAGAGAAGTTTACCAACGGCTGGAGCATCATAGGCATCCCCCAATAAGATTTCTGGAGCTGAATAAGCTAAACTACCACACGCAGTCTCAAGTTGCTCGCCAGGAATAAATTTATTGCTGAATCCGAAATCCGTCAATTTTACCATGCCCAGACGTTCGAAGAACACTACATTTTCAGGCTGCAATCATCATTAATATTTTTTATTTCGTTATTCTACTTAATTATTTTATTTAGCGATAATCATTTAATGATAATTTATTCACTTCAGTTATCGGTATATCATTTTCGTTACTTTTTTCAGATAGAAAAACTAGTTGAAATCAAAAGTTATCGGTAATATGCATAAGCTATTGTACCTTTAGATCTCGATGAACAACATGAAGCTGATGACAGTAATCAATTGCTTTGATAATCTGGCAAAAATATTGTTGTGCTTCGCTTTCTGGACAGCCCTAAAAGATGTTTAATGTTCAAACAAATAATTTGCTCCAGTTCATCAAGCTACAACTCTTGACACACACACACCGTAACCCGTATCTTAAAAAACACTATGTTGACACGAATTTTAAATGTTCACCTTATCAGCATTTTTTGTGATAAAATCATACATATCATAATCTCCTAATTCGAGAATTAAAAACAACTTCGTTTGTGTATCGATAACTTCATATAAACGAACTATATTTGGGTGCTGCACCAATTTCATACAGCGAACCTGCAATACATATGTAGGCACAAAAAAAACTTCCTATTAACGAAATAAAATGAGACTTGACGCATTAAACTAATTCATTCTGCACCAAACGACACCTTTAATAAAACAATGAAAATAATATAATGAAATTTTAAAAACAAGGAACACAGTTTCTGAAGAAACATTCCTTTACAAAAGAAGTCAACAAAGATCACCTCTTTTATCAAATGAGATGCCATTGAGGAATCAAATTTTGTCTTATCAATCACTTTCACAGCTACCTAAAAATGTTCCAATATATGCATGACAACGAATTAATAAATAAGGTGCGGAATGTAATAAAAGGCTTGCCGAATTTGATTGAAACACATGCCGAAACATCCATTTTATCATATGAATATTTATAGTCCAATCCCGTGAAATACTTTGAAAAAATGATAAAAGAAAAATTAAAAATTAATAATAACCTTTTCACCCGTGAAAACATGACTTGCCAATTTTACTACAGCGAAATGACCTTTGCCTATGGTTTTTTGTAGATCGTAAAGTCCAGCAATCCGAGCATCACTGATACTTCGTGAAGGTTTCCGTTCTAATTGTGATTTATCTGTCATTCGATCACCACTTCCTGGTGGCACACAAATAGTTGTTAAAGAAATGACAGAACAGACAAGGCTTTATTTGCGTACTAACATTTTAAGGAAATTTTAAAAGATAGAATAGAACTAAGATAAAACAGAATTCATGCAGCATTCTTTTTGTGCTGAAATGACACAAATGCGACTTCTTTCGCCTTTTCACCTACAATATGTTAATACTCTAAAAATTCAAAAGGTTTAAGTGCTTCAAACACTGAGCTAACTCACTTAATCACTTAATTAATCATTAACTGACTTACTTTTACATACGAACTAAACCAACGTATAGCATAATTACGCCTCAAAAATGCGCCCTTTAGAGTCTCTCATTTATGTGGCCCATCAAATCTAACCTTCCAATTTCAACTCTTTGTATCTGTCTTAGAATTACAGCATTTGCTGCCACTTGCTATTAGCTGCTAGCTATAACTTGCTTCAGCTATTTGACATCATTTGAAATGGTAGCAATTTTGAGCAAGTAGTAGTTAGTGAAAGCAAATAATAACAGTAATAAAGCAAACTTTCAAGTAATAGCAAAGTAGTAAAGCAAGTAGCAGCAAGAAACAAGTAGTAGAAAGAAGTGGAGCAAATAGTAGTAAGTGACAAGCTGAGAAACAGAAGTGTTTGTACTACCGTGTGGTAGGCATAGAATGTGGAAGGAAACCTACAGTTGCATGTCATGCATGCGTGATTTGCAGCGGATAGATAATAGACGCAATGTGATATATATTGGTATCATTAATTACTTTCATAATAAAAACAGGGCAAAAGCGTGTCGTCAAGTTAATTGAAATTTAAATTTATGCTTGTATATATAGTGGAAAATTTACAGCTATACTACTAATTGAAAAATGAATGACTTTTTTATGGAGCAAAAAAAAATTTCAATTCTATTTCAAAGTTCATAGAATAAAAGAATTAATTATTGAAATAAAATAGCAAAACTATAGTTTGAATCAATATAGTGACAAAAAAAGTCAGGTTTTTTCTCTTTAGTCTAATTTAGGAATAAAAGCAATAAGTAGTAAGCATTTTATTTGCCCTAACAAACTCGTCGTTCTTTTTTTTTCACACAGCATCAGATGTGCTGGAAAATTTAATCTTTCATTAAAATTAGAAATCTGAAAGAGATGCACGTGAAGAGAGTGCCATTTTATGGCTGAAGATATCAAAATGAAATCTCTTGCTATAATTGTTATTCATTCACATTGCTTTGCTTTTCCAATTATTCCCTATAATTTATATCTGTTTGAATAAATACACATTTTATAACATTTAAAGATAATTAATCGTCATAATCATTAAATTTTAGGAGGAAAGAAACTAAAATTTTGAGCTATTTAGTATAAATTTAATTTTAGAAAAAACTTTTAACGAACATTTGAAGATATTTGTACATAGAACTTAATTTACAAAAACCTTCAAAAAACATTTACAACATAAAGCTCTCCATTCTTTCATTTCATCTTTTTCATTTTAATTTGAAAATTTTCGGAACATTTATTACTGGTCCTCTATTAATAGACTTCGTTAAAAATGGAGAAATCGTCGCTGTTCCTTTTATTAATTTTACTTAGAAAATAGAAAGAAGTAATAATTGATCATAATTTAATAATCAAAATAAGAAAGGAATAATGATAATTGTAATTTAATAAAAAAATTATAATTTAATAATTAATTATGGTAGAACCAATTAATTAATCGTCAGCAAACAATGAGAAATCGAAAGAGCTCAAAAACTGGTAAGTATTGCCCGGGAAATAATAGAGACGTGACAGGAAGAACATTAACCGAAGCCAATAGACTGCTCTCGACTTGTCACTTCTCACGGCCGCCGTGAAATATGACAGAGCTGCTGTAAGGTTAAGGATTGGGTTTGATAACTGAAGTAGGTACTTAACCGTCCTAGAAATTGGTGATTATTGGATGAGTAGCCATTGGTCATCGTTGATTTGTGGCTTTAATTATTTAGAATAATTTCCAGTGTTGCATTTTTGCATGCTGAGGTAGTGGCAAGATATATGTCAGTGTTAATCATTGAAATTTTGTTTTCAAACAAATCGAATTTGAAGGCGACGAAAGTGCCATATGATGTACAATCGCAGAGTATTTTTTCGTAAATGTAGTTCAATTTTTTTTCTTTTTTTTTTTCAGAAAATAAAAGATAAAAATGGAGAATGGCAATGCTTCACGTTTGGATTATAATTTGTCACCTTTGCTCAGCAGCGATTCCGAAACAAATTATGCTTATGTAATATTTAGAGGTAAAATGACATACTGTTTAAAAAAGTGTTACACAATGAAATGGTTATTTATGTTGAAGATTTGGGGGAATATATTAGTAGCAAAAAATTGGCTGTCTGACATAGGCATGTTCACAATGAGAACGAGAGCAAACTGTGTATTTTAGTTATAACTGACGAAGTTTAAAATAGTGGAATACTGTCTTCCTACTTATCAAGTATACTTTTTAGATTGTACCTGTTCTTGTTTTTCTTCAAATATTTAAAAAAGTCTATTTTTAAAAGGTCTTTAAAAGGTCCATTTTTGTCTTTATTATGGTAAATAGCAATTATGGACGATAACATATTCAAAATAAATTAGAAAAAAAAAGTTGATATAGTCAGACTTTTTGGAGTGTCTGCATAGTTGGCATAATGAGTTCCATTAGAGCCGTTGAGACACTATGTCATATAGTTGTTGCTAACAGTCAGTTACTGCATTTGCTTGCCGAATAGCTATGTGAGTAAATGGCATCACAATCCTATGGATTTTATAATGAGAATTTATGGAAGAACGTAAAGAACTTTTTGATTTGAAAAGTTTAAGAAACAGAATTTGTTGCAGAAATAGATGAAAGTTATGCACAAACGCGAAGTGATCGCATCCGTACCGCAATGTTTCCTGATTTGTGTCCTGACAAAACTAGTGGCATGGGATCATCATCACATCGTTCAACAATTGTCTCAAAACTAGCAGAACCAAGCCAATTGTTAACAACCGCAGTTGTGGAATTGCTCAGTCTTCAGGATGAAGCAGAATTAACGACAAAAGCAATTCCGGAACTCGTAAAATTACTTGCGGATAAAGATGAAGTCAGTTATTTATACGAAGGACTTTTTATGTTTGAAATCTCCTTATTGTAGAAACGGAAACATTACCTTATCTAAAGTAATATAATCTAAACTGAATTATGCGAAATGAAATCGTTAAATTAATCACAAAAGCAAGTATAATCCCTAACCATGAATTTCAAGTTATTATAATTACAGTCAAAATATCTTACAATCAATACATTTAGCCTTAAAAGTGGTTATTTCTTAGTCTAGAGATCTGTGAACACTGCTCTTTTCTGGGATTTTTTTGCTGCATCGTGCTCATATGTCTGAAAATATTGCTAAATTGTTTGAGGAAATGATAGTCGGTGACGAGAGGATAGGTGAATATAACGAGCTGAACGTAATCGTTCAGCTTTTGAAGCGTTGATTGTTAGCTATATAAGTTAAGCACTTTCATTACATATAATTGATTTGCTAAGCTCACTTCTCAGATATTGCTGATATCTTAGAATCTATATTTGTCTTCAAATAGTGGTTATGGTCTTTTTTTGTTCAAGTTTTATTCTCAAATTTGCAAAGTTTTTTTCATCCTAACTATTAAGTGAGTTGTCGTTGTTATTGATGCAGTTCAGTTTTATTGTCATAGATTTTTTCTGTTCTATCAAATCATAGAAGAAATCATTTCAAAATAACTTATTTCCAGTTAGTTTATAGCTAAATGTAAAATCAGCTTCCAGAGTTGCTATCAGTTGGCCATTGAAGATAATTATTTTTCATTTTCAATACTTTTATCGCTTGACTTCTTTAATTGCCATTGCTTTATACGTTTGTAAGCTGTCAGACAGTTTCTGGGTCAGGCGCATTGTTAATATCTCGAATTATTCCACAACTTATTTAAATTTGTCCAGCTCTTTTTTTGTCCAACTTCATTTTCTCAAACTGTAATAAAGTTGAAATGAGCAATTTATAAGTCATTAACAAGAAAAAAGAAAAATAAACCCATTAGACCGGATTTACCTAACCATGCATTCTAATATTAGTAATTTCAACAATACAGGAATTAGTTCTGCATCAGTTGAAACACTTATTTTTGACTGACCCTTTTTTGCCCAACATTTTTATCTGTTGATATTGTTGACTAGAAATGAATGAATGATTAATTGCTAAATAAAACAAACTATTTGATTCATTCTGTATTATTTTTAGTGCTTAATACTGGGATGGCCCGCCATTCCATTTAGTGCATCTTTGTGAACTACTTCACACCGGGAATAGCTTAAGTATTTGATAAGGGAAAAGTTCCTCGTTTTAAGATTCAACTGTCAGAATTAGGTTTTTAAAATATAAGTAAGTATTATAGACAGTGATTATGCGAGCTGTTCATATGGTGCATATGTTATCTCGTGAAAGCAAATCCGTGAATGCAATAGCTTCAAATGCAACTCTTGTAAATGCTTTGTGCAGTATTGCCAGGTCTTATTATTGATTTTTGTAGAATTGATTTTTGTGCAAACATTGTTTGATATTGTTACGACTCAAAATGGCTACAGATTTACAAAAAAAAAAAAAAAAATAGAGTTGGTTGATTATAAAGGACATTTCAGATTGGAAAATGACACTATACGAAGAGATGCACTTGGTGCTCTTTCACATATCTCAGAACATGCAGAAGGACGTATGCAAATATTCCGTTCTGGTGGTATTCCGGAGTTAGTTCGAATGCTTGGCATTCCATTGGATCCTATTCGTCACTATGCCATTACTACGCTTCATAATCTGGTTCTTTTCATGGACTATGCGAAGGAGGTCAGTTTCTTTTCTCCTTTTTATTTAAAATAAAGACGTTATATTTAACAAAATAAGGACTTTATAATTAAACTCTCTCTGTTGTCGAGAATAAAAACATTCCATTAAATC